TGTGTGTTTCTTGTACAACAAGTCTACCTCCTTCCTTGTATAGTTGAGGTCTAGACTCCCCTTGTACCTATATATGTACGTGCATACGCACCCGATGAATATATCATGAGTTACACCAATCCTCTAGAGGCCTCCTTGATGAAATTAACAAAGCTACACCGACAGACAGAGAAGGCGCAAATGTAATAGAATTTCTCCTGTGCGATGACAAGTTTTGTTGGAATTATATGGATATTGTTGATATATTGGAGGTCATCGCTTCTACTTGTTGGTACCTATGATGGCAAAGAAGGGAAATGGCCAAAGGAGAACAAATCCAGAACCCTTTTCGCACTTCAATGGCGATCCGAGCATTGTCACTAAACTATGTTGGTGATGCGAGTAAACCCAATCCGGTGGATCGTCAGAAGACATGGAAGAGGGCACGAACTGGGATGCAAATTCTGAATGTTGATGCAACTTTCACCGAGGAAGATCACACGGGAGCGTGTGAGATGGTGATGCGCGACCATGACGGAAGGTTCATTGCGGCAGCAACAACGCAAATGAAACATGTGGCTGATGTGATGTCAGCGGTGGCTGATGTGATTGTTCATACGAGGCCTGTGATAAAATCATGATTCAGTCGACAGTTTGATCGTCGCGGATGCTCTGAAGTTGAATGAAAGGTACACACTGGTGGCTACAACAATTCTAGACGATAGTTGTAATCTACTACAAGATTTTGGGAAGGTTACAGTTGAACATTGTTTTAGAGAGACAAACATGGTTGCCCATTATTTAGCTAGCTATATGGGAGGAGTAATCCGATGCCGACGGTGCGGTCGGATACACCTTCTAGTTTTATTCTTAATGCTTTAGCAAATGATGTAAGTTTGATTTGAGGTAATGAAGCCGTCGTGAAGGCTTTTCCGTAAAAAAAAAGTTAACTTTGACTTATAACACATACACTATTTTTCTGGTGACGGAGGGCCAAAATTCTGAAAGCCCATCGACATGCGTCCATCTGAACCGCTCGATACGTAATCCAAGGAAATACAAACCTTGGCTATATCCTAGCCAAAAAAAACTCCTCCTCTCACCGGCTCCTCCTCGTCGGAGCTCACCTCACCACCATGCTCTCCTCCTCCCTCATGCTGACCTGCGGCCACGCTCCCCTCCCGGCGTTCCGCAAACCGCGGCGCCTCACCCTCGATAGAACCGCCGCCGTCACCCAAACCAACGCTTCTCTCTCCACCTTCCTGCCCGGGCGGGGAGGAGCAGCAGCCGCGCCGCGCCGGGGCTGGGCCCAGATCTGCCGGGATTCCTCCCGGCCGGGCGCCGATGCCGCGGAGCAGGACAGAGAGAGCAAGAACGACTTAGCGACGGCGACCGTCCCCAAGATTGGCGGTGGCGGCGGCGGCGGCGGGCAGCTCAGCGACTGGATAACATCGGTGCTGCTGTTCGGGATATGGGCGGGGCTCATGTACTACGTCCTCCAGCTCGCACCAAACCAAACGCCAGTATGTACGGTCCTGCATATTCTCACCTCTTCATTCTTCGAAAGCAACTTATCAACCATTGAACTGCCAATTGGCAATTGCTATGCATTTTGATGAATTTAAGTCGTTGTTTCAGTACAGTGGCAATGCTAGGGCCTAGGAGACAGTTCTACATGCTTACTTGTTAGAATCCTGATTAATATCCGGGGAAAAAAAGGAATCCTGATTAATAAACCCTGTCTTGAATCTTGATATAGCAGGCTAAGATCATTTTGTTTTCTTTTCGAAAAGGAAGATATCCCCGGCCTCACACAACCATCTATATATATTGCAAAGTTTCAAGATTCAGAAGTGTCATACAAAGAGGTAGAAGCTAGGACACCACTATGCTGTTATCCATGTTGTCTTTGCCCTGGCAATGTTGTCCCATAGAATACGCAACCATCTGGGTTGGATTGGCTGTTACCTGGTGAGACGCGTGTATTTTTCTTGGTAATCCGATCATGGCAACGGTCAGCATCGATAACAGAGATGGTTGGGCCATTGGTGCTGATCACAGATTCAGAGTTCTCACTCCCTAAAAGGAAAGAAAAACAGATTCATGTCTGAGATGAGCCACACAGTTTACCACACCACCGGTGAAGTTTTTGATCTGTGAAGACGTCCTTGTAGTGAACAACGGTACCTTGATCCGCTAGGCTATTATCACGAGTCTGTGACTCTAGACGCTAAACCATTATTGATGCGGAGCATCCCATGGACATCATCATGACTCACCAAATGGACCAATGGCACGAGCACGTGCATGAGCCATCCAAATTGAGGTGACTTCGCCCCTCTTTGAGCTTCCTACACATTTGAATGAGACTTGGCTACTACCTCAAAACCGGAACCCTATGTGTCCTTAGGTGTGATGGCATTGATCCAAAATGTAGTCTTCTTGGGATTTTTGGGGAAGCATAAGACATAGCTGCTTTGTAAGTGGAAGCAATTGGCAATTTCCAAAATAATTGGAAGGGGCATATTTTTGTAGGTGGGGTTTGAATTATCAAGATTAAAGGGTTCAGGATTTATGGCGGAGAACTGGGAATTGATCAAATCTCCTTGGCAGGGCAAGTGTTAAGGATGCATGCCATCTTATAGATATAATTTTCATAAATTCAAGCATGCAATCAAATTATGGGTGACACAATTACTCGCTCCCCTAGTCTAGTTTAGCAATCAACTTAGAGATGGTAAAACTAATCTAACCCATAATCTGTAACAGGATTTACAGTAACACAAGGCACTTTATGTGAATAGTATTGCTGCATCTGACAATCACTTACTAATTCTAAATTGCTTTTGGTTGCAGTACAGGGACACATATTTCTTGGAGAAGCTTTTAAATCTTAAAGCCGATGATGGCTTTCGAATGAACGGAGTTCTTGTGTCTCTGTGGTACATAATGGGAATCTGGCCACTGGTGTACAGCATGTTGCTTCTTCCTACTGGAAGAAGGTAAATGGATCAGCAGATTTAGTCACAATCTTCCTCTTTTCTATCTCTACAGTTGCAGCAGAGAACCATACCATGTTTAATGTGTAGTTTAATTTAAGCTTTTCTTAATATATGGTTTAGCTCACGTAGCTGTCTTTAAATTATAGAAATAAGTTGTGTTGCTGAATTAAAATGGCTGTCTACAAAATTTTATCAGATCCACTGTACTCATGCTGCTCATATGTTCATGTAATCATCTTGCACTTCTCTTTGGATTTGAACGTAATCATAGGACTAGAAAAAAACTCAAAAACTCGAAGCTCCTGTTCCTTGGAAAAAGGCTAGCTTATCCTGAAAGCATGCCCTTAACGAGCTGGGTAGATAATGAGCGATGGTAACGAGTACGTACATACACTCACCCCTATGGACGCACGTACACACACCCTACCCCTATGAGCACCTTTGAGAGACTGAGCCATTGGGCCTTGAACTTGACGAAGTCACCACAGACACCTCATCACTGACGCGAACGTCGCCTCCCAGTGAAAGAACATTCCACCTTTATGAGGCACCAAAGCGTCAAACCTGGGGTTTGATCCCTGGTGGGCTGGGGGTACCACTGCCCTCATAACCATCCGACCACAGTTGGTTCTCCCGTCAATGTTTAACCCGAGGTGTCAAGTTATAAGGTAATCTCGAAGATAGCCATATATGTTTAGGATTTGATCCCTTCCTGTGTGTTTAAACCTGGCTAGCAGGGTTGTGTCGTGTTGGGCAAGTTCAATAGGCCATTTTGGCACGAACTCTTCGTAAAACTCTATATAAGGCAAAGCAATAGGAGGAAAGTAGGTCTCTACCTTCGGTTCCTCTCCAGTCTGACCGTCCATGATGCTCCTGTTGTTCGCAATGCTGCCGCTACGACTACGGGGGGTGCTAGAATATATTTGGTAGTTAGAGATTGCACAGGATTAGATAGGAACTGCTTCCATCTTATCTCTAGGAGCCATCTTGCCATCCATGTCTTGTACCTCTATATATACTCGCCCACGACTCTAAATAATACACAAACCGCATTGCACCAATTCCTCCTCTATCTAATCCTCGTACAATCGCTGGGAGACCGAGGGTGCTCCGTTGCCTTGAGCAGGGCGTTGTTGATAGTTGATAGCCGGGCCATGCTGTCGCATTTAGGAGGATTTCGTCGGCCGGGTAGTATTGTGCCGTGCTGCAGGATACCACATGATGTCTATTGGTGTCGTGAACGCCGCGGGAGATATGGTTGCACGCGACGTCTCGCTACCGACAAGGGATGCACATGACAACGCGTTGGATGTAGCTGCAGCTCCAACCGTCGGCGCTGCCTGAGGAAGCGCTGTGGGGAGCCATGGTTGGACGCGACGTCTCGCTGCCAACAGGGGATGCGCGTGACAATGCATTGGTGGTGCGACCTCGTGGCTGTCACCTATGGAGCCAGTGTGCAGGGCAACCGTGAAGCTGCCGCGCAACCCGGAACTCATGCCCGGGTTGTTCGTCCCCAAGGGCTTCGTGGTGTTCTAGGCATGCGTGGTCGCTGGCACCATCAACCCGCGGGGTATAGCCATATCTAGTGTGCGGAGGCACGGATCTGACTCTGATGGCGTGGGCTTGTGCTGGAGGGGACGTCGTGGCCCTGCCTAGGGGCCTGACCATGCGGATGGGGGTCGTGTTGGAGGACGGCAAGGTGAAGGCCTCAAGGTGGTGGTAGTCGGATTCGCGAGGTAGCTGCAACGACGACGACTTGCGAAGTGGCTACAACAACGACCTGGTTGGAAGACCAGCTTACGTCCAAGCGTCCCTTTCATCCCTTTTGATGGGGATCAAAGGAGGTGCGGCAGGGACCAGAAGCATATGACGACGTGGAACCTGCATCTGGCTTCTTCTCTGGCAGTTTCAGTGGGCTTGGGGTTCTCTCACGCCAGGATCTGGCTAGCGAGACGTTGTTAGCTGGTAGAGTGGATGATGGCAAATGATGGATTCGTCGCAGGAATGCGTTTACTCCGGTGAAAACTCTCAGTCTATCCTTTTCGGCTTGATCATGCAATGTCAGTGTGCGAGCGTCGTGTCCTTGTTGAAGGTCTTGGCCCAAAGCTAGACTTAGGAGATAAAAATCCCTTGTTTGACCTTTGGTTGAACTCGTCAATATCGGCGCACGTATGTCGATCCCTTGTTGAAGGCTTTTGTCTAGGAGTAGCCCGTTTAATTTGGTCTGTTGTCATAGGTTAGTTGTAGAACTGTGGAGATCCTGTCATGATGCAAATCCATTTTGGCCGGCCCCGGGTTTTTCCTTTTTCTTAAAACCGATTTGTTTGACATTGATGTTACGCTTTGCCTGGCTTCAAGAAATAATCAATATTATATGGTTGTGTCCATCAATTGATGCAGAGGCCAGGGGTGATACCCTCCTTTTTGAAAAAGTAATTATTTTGCACTAGCAGCATTCTTGTTAATGCATTTCTTGATCTACATGTCAAAACAAACATAAAAGATGTGATGTTAACCATCTGTATTGTTGTCTTCTTTTATTATTAAGTCACTGTATTATTTATGTTACAGCAATTTGTTATTGCAGTTCAAAAAGCAAGATTCCAGTCTGGCCATTCCTGGTGCTTTCATGCATTGGAGGAGCATATGCGTTGATTCCTTACTTTGTTCTGTGGAAACCTCCTCCACCTGCCATTGATGAAGATGAAATTGGACAATGGCCATTAAAATTTCTCGAATCTAAACTAACTGCAGGAGTATGTGCTAGTTTTTGCGTCTTTACATTCTCATACTCTTGATTTAAGTAGCACGCAACATCAGTAATGTATCTTCAAACCCTGGTCAACCTTTTCAATCATTGAGAAGATTCTGTTCCAATCATGTTGCAGGTAATTTTTGCCGTGGGCCTTGGACTGATTATATTTGCAGGCAAAGCTGGCGGTGATGATTGGCGGGAATTTTTTCAATACTTTAGAGAGAGCAAGTTTGTAAGTTTTGCTTTATTCAATCCTTGGCAAAATATGAACAAAGTTTTACCATGGCATATTATTATATAATAAGTTGTATCCGGCGCGCATGCAACTTTTTTTTCCTCGAGAATCACAGGCAACTTTCATGTTTTTACGCCTAAATGCTTGCTCAATATTGTCAAGTGACACTTGCAAAATTGTTTT